ACAAATGATTCAGCCATTGTTCCAATGACCACTTAACAAGTATACTTATTCTTCAATAACCATTTGTTTGTGCTTTAGCTGAGAATTTGAAAAGAAATTATGAAATAAAAAAAAGTACACATGCTTCCAGATCTAGTGCTCTTGAAGTTCTAGCTGGGATAGTGCCTCTGACGGGGAAAGAGGAATGATGATGATATGCTGTAGGTTTTGGGTCATTTTAAAACCCAGGGAATCATGGGAAGAACCTTTCACCATTGAGTTAATGCCATGTCTCAGCATAACTATGCTTCAGTCGCAAGCAGAGTATCTTATTTGGCATGCCAATATTTAAGAATATTGACATGATCAGTTTCAACAAATTTATTTTCAGCAATACAAGAAAATAACGAAATACTAGACTAACATGTCCTTCAGGTTGTAGGCTTGTCATGTCACAGTCAGGGTGAATGAAACACACATGTAGCTGTTACAGGAAATTACATGTTACATGACAAGCATAATTGTTAATGTCAAAAAAGAAGATGCAAAAGCACTCTTCTAGAGAAATGGAAAAACTATTGATTTTTGTTAGTCTCACAGAACTGTTGCAGTGTGGATTCAAAAATCACAAAAAGGACAGGTGAAGTTTCTCTCTGGTCTGTGATCCAGTGGTGGATTTAGATATGGGCAACATGGGAAGCTGGCCAGGGTGGCATGGGGCACATAAAAAAATGGTTTAATTTATGTAAAGGTTTTCTGTTCTGCATGTGTCCCGTCAATGATGTCACTGTATGGGTCACCTTGTTAAAGTGGATACTCTAGTTCTAGTTATTTGAGCCAGGCAGACTTTTGCCTGCTGAGAAGATCTCACATTCAGAAGTAGGAAAGGGTGAGGGGTTCGGGGGTAGGTTGACCTCAGGTCTCTCCACTGAAAGTCCAAGGTAGGGGGGGAATCTAGCGCACCTAAAGAAGGCAAGAAATGTCAGGATTTAGATAGCAGTTGTGCAATTTAGTTTCAGCGTGTGCAACAGTGTATTATTAAGGTTCTCTTTACCGTAAGTGTATTGCTCTATCTGTGTTAGATATAATCATATATATATTTATTTATTAACAAAAGTCTGCTCTGGAATCTGAATATGCTGGTGAGTTTACACAACCCTAACCCGCTGAACATATCTGTTAAGCCATTTTATGTGGAACCAGCTAATGTGGTTGACAACATGCAACACAATGTCATTGATCTACAATGCAGTGAGCTTGCTGGTACAACAACCTCCATCTTGAGAGTTTTCCCATCTTGGGATACTCTCTACAAGCTGACTTCAGACACCTTGCCAAAGAGAAGCAGTTTCAACCGGAGGGTTAGACATATAGGTAATGTCACATAATACATGTCAAATAATACATTATCAGAAATTACTTAAAATCAAGCAAACTTTAGTGGCTTTATAATTGATCAACTTCTCTCTCAAGCCAAATTTTAAAAAAACATCTACAAAAGTCTTAAAAGTTACCATGGTGGTTGCTGTTTTTTTTGACACATTTTTTGTTTCAGTAAAAAAAAAAAGTTGGCAGCATTTATAAGCTTGAAGCAGGATGGTGGAGAAGTAAAACACAGGAAAGGTAACATGACAGCAGATCAATGACTGGTATAGCCTATAGTTCAATTGGAAGCAGGCTATATTCCATAGGAGGTAAACAGTCGGCAGTCCACATAGTAATCCTGCCTCATGAAAGCTAGTATTTTGTACAGTGCTTAATAAATAAATAAAAAAACTACCATTTTCCAAATGAAAAAAGCTGAAACTATGTATAATGGATTGCTGGTAAATGAAAAAAATAGTTTTACAATTAATGCTTCCTACAACAATCAACCAAACATAACCACATGCACCCTAATACAAAAAGGCTCTTATACAGCTAGCACTGTTTGGTAAATATAAAAATCCAAAGTAGTTACATTTTACATTTTTTGTGAGATATTTTACTTAGTGTGTGAATAGTATCTCAACATCACACTTGTTTGGAATAATTTCTAATGCACAACGTTTTCCGTTCTTTTTATTTATATATCAATGTTTTATTTATTTATGCTGTCATGCAGACTGATGAAATCGACCCGAAAGCTTTTCCATTGTATCTCCTTTAGGCTTACATAACATTCATTCAGATAACCAATGATAAATGTTTCTTCATAAACAAAACCAACACTTTCAACATTTTTACAATTTTTTGATGAGAAGTGAGTTTTCAATTTTGCATTTTAGGGATCTGTGATTTCTCAAATATTTTTGAATCTCTTATTATTTCTTTTAAATTTATGAGGCAAGCCAACAAGACTCAAATTGGGTAATTTACACTATCAAACGTGTTAGATTTGTCATTTGAGCATTTTAATTTCTTTCAAGTTAACACTTGAATGCAGGACATTAACCTATATGTGTTGAATCGATTATTTCATTACCTGTAAAAAAGAGGACAACTTTGAGGCCTCTGGCAGTTGAGTCTGTATGTACATATGTGCCATTTTGCCCTTTGTGAAAATGTTAGTATGTCTCCAGTGAATCAGCACAAAACAGACCCTGGACATCCAGCATGGCTGCCAGCTCCAAAACATGCTTCTGAAGAAGGCTGCTCTCAACTGTGTCCTGCTTTGGCAGCTCAGGATATGACTCAGGGAAGCTGCGGGACTCCTGTAAACACAAAATCAAACACCTCTGATCCCATCGAACATCCCAACAAATATGCCTTGATTGATTAGAGGTTTTCTATCATTACAGGTTGCCATAAATTGTTGTGTGTTTACTGTATACAGAGGTGTCTACTCAAACACCTTTGGATACATGTATAAAAACATATTTCTCTTTATGTTTAAGCCCTTCATTCAAACTGATAATTTAGGTAATGTCAAGATAACATTTGTTAAGAAGGTAACTGTATCAGTGGTTTGGCCAGTATCTTTAAGAAAATTATGTCTGATGCTCCTGTGTTGTTTCTTTCATTTTATCATCTTAATTTCTTGGTTTAGATGCTAGTTTTTTAACTAGGTGGACAGATTCTGATCAAAGCCCTGAAAAGGAACATTGCTTATATCAAGAAAAGCAATAATTTTGCACCTGTTTACCTATATCTTTAAAAAAAAGGAAGAGTTTACTTATTTTATAGGTATGTATATAAAAAACTGATTTTATGTTTTTAAGAGGTAATTTTTCACTTCAATTAAATTTTATTCATTTAAATCTGCCAGATAACTACAGCAGCAATGACTTACCCGAAACAGTTTATGCAGTCTCAGTGCAGCAGAGCAGAAGACAAAGCGGACCAGCAGCAGTCGAAGGAACTCATCACCAAAGAATTGCAAAAAGGCTTGATCTGTGCAGACAATATTAAAAAATAGTGCTGAGCAAAGTAGTTAGATCAT